CCCCCTTCCAGGGACTTGTGTCCGTATTCAGACCCCAGCACCAACTCCGATTTCTGAGTGTCAACTGTAGAGAGCTGTGTGCAACCGCGCCTCAAAGATGGCGCTGGCTTCCGCCTTCCACCCTCCCGACGGTGAGTGCTCTCTGAGATAAACAACTCCTTATTTGGCTAAGGCTAGGATCTGGCTTGCTTCCGCGCACCTGGACCTATCCGCAGTACCCACGTGGCAGACTGGGGTAGGCTACCCAGAGGCTATTTAGGTTGTGGGTTGGCTCTCCCCGGGGTCAGAAGATTGTCTCAAGGTTCCTGAATAAACTGCTTGGAGAAGAGCCTGGTGTTGCGTCTTCCTTGCTGGTCGAGGCAGACGCGACAGTCAGTCAACGATCATTTCCCTCTATGAGATGTAAGATCCACCAGAACCGGTCAGTGCCTCTTGTGTTTGAGTGTGTGTGTTCAGTGCTCTCTCAATGTTTGTGTATGAATGAATAGATTTCCCAAGTTCACGTCAGGCAGTAGAATTAGATTTACCTAACCAAGCCGGGCGGTGGTGGCGCATGCCTTTAATCCCAGCACTCTGGAGGCAGAGCCAGGTGGATCTCTGTGAGTTCGAGGCCAGCCTGGGCTACCAAGTGGAGTCCCAGGAAAGGCACAAAGCTACACAGAGAAACCCTGTCTCGAAAAACGAAAAAAAAAAAAAAAATTGATTTACCTAACCTAAAATACCCTTCTCCAGAGAATATCACAGGTAGACAGACTATTGAAATTTCATCCTAATTTCTAAAGTCCCTTTCTCCATTAGCATAAAAACAGCGCTGACTTTTTAAAAGATACATCAATGGCTGACCACCTGAGTTCCAAACACAAGACTGGAACAGATGTGGCCCAACGAACTTCTGATTGTTGCGATGGTTATGGCTGGGCTAATTTCTGCCTCCTTTGAAGTCTGCCATGTTATGATATTGCTAGGTTAGGGGTCATTCCTAGCTGGTAAGTATAATTCCATATAGAGCAATCAGAGATAAAATAGGCCATAGAGGGGCTGAAGAGGTGGCTCAGTGGTCAAGAGCACTCACTACTCTTCCAAGGGTCCTGAGTTCAATTCCCAGCAACCACATGGCAGCTCACAACTGTCTGATGTCATCTTCTGGTGTACAGATATACATACAAAGTATCCATACACATAAAATACATGACTAAATAAACCTTTAGAAAAAAAAAAACAGGCCATAGAAAGTGCCCTGGAACTGGAGCCAGATGTTCTTGGTCCTCTCCTCAGCTCCACTGTGTGCTTAGCTGTGTGACCTGGAGCACAGCTGTCCCGGGCCTTCATGAACCTGTGAAATAGGGATCACAGTGCTCACCCCTCTCATCATCGAAAAGCTGTTGTACCTTCTTTCAAGGGGTTTGGTGGTTTGTTGTGTTCTCATTAACTTCCATTTGATTTTCATAGCATGCACTGGTCTAGGCCAGTGGTTCTTAACCTCCCTAATGCTGTGACCCTTTAATACAATTCCTCATGCTGTGGTGACCCCTCAACCATAAAATTATCTTCACTGTTACTTCATAACTTTAATTTTGCTACCATTACGAATTGTAATGTAGGTATGTTTTGGTGATAGAGGCTTGTCAAGGGGGTTGCAACCCACATGTCGAGAAGCGCTAGTCTAGGACCAGAAGACTCTAAACCGAGAGGTGCCTGATCTTTGGGGACAGTTTGCATCATGAAATAATACATTACCCATTGAGGTGCTCACATCCACGGTCATTGGCCTCAACCCTGGAGATATGCTGCATCCGATGGGGAACCTGGAGACCCTGGCAGCCACCTCAGGCAAAATCTTTTGATGAGAACTAAAGACCATTCTTGGAAAGAATCATTACTCTGGGTTTTCCCAGTGATTACCGATGCTCCTAAAAGCCAGCTGGGTGGCTATAGCTACGAATGAGACAGACTTGGTTTCACCAGCAGTAAACAGACAATGTTTGCTCTTGGCTTCCAGTGGAATCTCTCCAGAGTGTCCCTACCATCCTGAACTCTCACACTACCCTCACCATACTACTCCAATAGAGAAGCAAATATATTTGTAAAGATCCATACATAAAGAACTACCCGTTCAATGCTCTCGCCCATCTTTACTATCCATGGCTATTTAGCAGTGTTAGTGCACAAATTGTTGCTGGTGTTTCAAAAACAGAAAATCCAGAAGCTTACAGCAGCCGATGATTAGACTCTTCCCTTAGCCCCTTTGAGCCAACCCTGGCCTGGACTTATTTTCTTTTCTCCTGGCAATATATTTTTTATCCAGGTTCTGCATTGCTTAATACAAGTAGTTTGGACCTGTTGGATATGAGTTCTTTTACTCAACATTTTTTTTTTTCAATCAATATTTCCAGGGGATCTGAAAACTATGCTCAGGTCAACCCTAAGATGACATTGTGGATCTCCTTTTGCTTTTGAGCCCAGGGATGAGCCTGGACCCAGAAGCATGTGGTAGTGGGACGTGGTGAGGATTCTCCGACAGAAGTGAGCTGAGTTGCCGTCTCGCACTCCTTAGACAGATGCCAAGTTTGCTTTCTAGTGAAGCTGAGTGACTAGTAGAGACCAAAAATAAAAACATCTCTGGTGAATATTGCAGCTTCTGTTTGATTCTCCCTTCGGAAAGCCCTATATTTTTACACCCACCCTTGTTACCCATACTACTGGGGACAGTACTGCAGAGGAAGAGCAACTGATACCAAATGTCACCTTTATAGCCACCAGCATCACAACTACCACAAGGATCCGCTTATGGCGCCCCACTGCTGTCCATCACACACACACACACACACACACACACACACACACACACACACACACACACCGTTTCCTTGTCTCGGTCACAGGGCACTCTCTGCTTTATTTCACTTCCCAGCATTCTTTATGGCCAGGCAGCCTGTCCTGGGAAAGCATTGAACCATAGGTCCTATTTTCCTGCTGAGTTAGCCTACGATGCACCTTTCAAGATTTCACAATTTGAAAAAAATAAGAAAAATAACCTTTGTCCCCAGGGTTGATCTACCGAATTAGTTAGCACAGAGAGACAGAATACATTGGCTTAGATAAACCCATAAGGTCTGGCATTCCTGTGATCAGCCATGGCTTCTGTGATCAGTAGGATAGTCTCTAGGTCTTTTCAGTTTCTAATATTAAGTGACCCCAAAGAAATTCACATCACCATCATCTCAGCCAAATTATAACAAGGAGATGTTATCCTGTCACACAGAGCAGGGGCGCATATTTGATGTGACATGCCACTGTTGGAGAAGAACAGTGCGTTCCTTTCATGCCCCCAGTACTGTGACTAGGGCCACAAGAGTCCCAGATGAGGATGTATAGACAGTGTTTCAGCATGCTTCATTCAGAACAACCAGAGCCATTTCCACCCCCTCATTTGCATGGAGCAAACTGAAGCATAAACCTAATTAATCTTACTAATAATATAGGGGTAAAAACCCGAGAGATCAGAGAAGCAGGGGGCAGCCACAGTCGGTTCCTACCTCTTCCATTCCTCTGACCAAAAGGTCCGAGATTCTAGCCGGGCGGTGGTGGCGCACGCCTTTAATCCCAGCACTCGGGAGGCAGAGCCAGGCGGATCTCTGTGAGTTCGAGGCCAGCCTGGGCTACAGAGTGAGTCCCAGGAAAGGCGCAAAGCTACACAGAGAAACCCTGTCTCGAAAAACCAAAAAAAAAAAAAAAAGGTCCGAGATTCTGTCTCCATCCTGCCTTATCACTTCCATTTCCTCTCTGTACAGACCTCCAGACCTCTATGGTTAACCAGTGGCTAGCTCCACCTCTGACTCAGAACGCAAATAAATTATCACACAACAGAAAACCTTTGCAGTCAACAGCCACAATCATCTGTTGAAACAAAAGGAACCCAACCCTCCACCAACTGTGGTGGAAAAGAGGAGCACCACTGACTTGAGGATTAGATAGGAAAGAAGTGGGAACTGAAACAGTGGGTCCTAACTTTTTCCTAAAACACTGATGCTTTTTAAACACACTCTTACCCAGATGAATAAAAAGCCCCAAAGTCCATGGTGAAGGAGGGCCGAGGCTTCAGAACAGAGTTCTATTTCCTACTCCCAAATGTGGCTCCTGGAGCTGTGTGGAACCCCAGTCCTACACATACAGTACAAACCACTAGATTGGAGAAATCTGGGGCACTGGAATAGGCTTCTAGAAGAAGAAAAGGCCGGGGCCAGAGAGATGGCTCAGGCTTACTGCACAAGTGTGGGGAACTAAGTTCTGATTCCCAGAGTCTGTGAAGAGCCAGGGGTGGTAGCATACCCGTGATTCCAGAAACGGTGAGCGGGGAGGCAGACAGAGGTAGAGCCTTGGAGCCAGCCCACTGGCCAGATCATCCAGCCTACACGGGCAAGTTCCAGGACAATGAGAGACCACAAATTAAAGGTGGGAAGTACCGGAGGATAACACCCCAAGTTGTCTTCTGGCCTCCCTTTCCACAAACACATGTGCTGTGCGCGTGCACACTTATATGAGCATGTATGTGTAAACCTTCATTCACATGTGATCCACCCACATGTATGTCCGTACAGAAAATCAGAACAGAAAGGCAGTTCTGAGAATGACTGCTTCTGGGTATTTTACTATATAGACATGCCACGTTATAGGGTGTGCAGCTGAGAAGCCTTCCACTCCCTGCCTAAGGCAGATGAATTCACCAAATGACCTTCTTTACCCCAGAGGCAAGCCTCATCCTTGTCTTCAAGTGGGCAAGATAATATTTGTTTGGAAGTGATTTCACTTGATCTTCTTTGTCCGGCCCCCCTCCCCTTTCCCAGCCATCTCTTATGCCTAAGTTATAGTCTCACCCTAGATCATGGGTCTTGCCCAGTGCGTCTCTGCTTGGCCTCCAAGTAGAAGGGATCCTGAGGGATCATCCCATTTCCTTACCATGTAGCTCATTTCTCCTCATGGAGCCAAGACCCCAGACCCACCTATGCACACCACGTCCATGAAGCCATACATCCCATAGCAGATCTGGAAGAGGAGGTCTTGGCGCTGCCATTTTGCTGAGGGACTGAAGGTTGACCAGATGAGCCAAGAGATACTGGCGATGAGGAAGAGAGAACCCAAGATGGCGGCAGCAATCTGAACCTTCTCGATGACCGTCAGGGATATGGCCTGCCACTGGGGAGGAGAGAGAGCGGCAGATTAGCTGCTTGAGTGCCTGGATCCTGTTCCCACACTCTACTGCTTCAGCAGCTCATTGGAAGAGCTTAAACCAGGGCGCTTCCCCACTTGGAGAACAACTGTGCAGTTTCATATTCTGTTTTTGATGCAGAGGGAACCCACGTCATATAAAATGATCAGACATCATTGTCAGGAGGGGGCTCTGGGTAGGCATGGCTGAGGAGGAGACCCTTGACTTTCACAGACATAGAAATCCGAAGGCGAGAAGGCAAACAAAGAGCTGGTGTGGGTGTTGTTCCGGTGCAAGAATATTCCTTTCAGCAACACGGTTGATTTGCTCACTAATAGGTGCCAAGAGGGCACGGGTCTCTCTTTGACTGTTTTGTTTTATTTCACCTTGCACGCCATTTAATACGCGTGTCAGAGACCAACAGTTTGACAGAGGAGAGGACATGGGAAGTGGGCGTAAGGAAAAAAAACCCAGCTCACACTATACTGATTGCATTTTAACTCTTTCTTTTTCAAAGAAAAAGCAGTGTACTTATGGCAGTATTGAGTTGGAGGCTGAAGTGTGGGTGAGTTTTGTCTGTGGAACTTATGATTATATGCTTTATCTATGGAGCAATGTGCTAAATTAGCCTTGAGTAGGATTTTTTTGTTGTTGTTGTTTTATTTTTGTTTTTGTTTTGTTTTTTGAGACAGGGTTTCTCTGTGTAGCTTTGCACCTTTCCTGGAACTCACTCTGTAGTCCAGGCTGGCCTCGAACTCACAGAGATCCGCCTGGCTCTGCCTCTGGAGTGCTGGGATTAAAGGCGTGCGCCACCACTGCCCAGCAGCCTTGAGTAGGATTTTAGTTTAGGGCTTGTTTCACTTAATAAGTATTGATTGTTTCTATGTACCTGGCCACTATGCTAGGTGCTGGAGCTAAAGCGCTAGACAAGACTGGACAGGACCCTTGCCCTGTGGTACCCACAGCCTTGGGGGTACATAACTAATAATTTACATATGCAATCTGTCATGGATCTGCATAATATCCTTCAGGGAACATTCCCAAGAATCACTGTGGCCTAAACACAGAGGAGAAGCACAGTACCTTCCGCCTGCCAACAGGGACCCCCGCTCTCTGCCATCATTGGCTTGGATCGGGTAGGCCAGTGGTCTTCTGAAGGAGTCCCCCCAGTGGAGGCTTCCTCCTGGACCCCAGATTAGGCACAAACCACACCCAAACACCTGTTTTCACAGAGATCCTTTATTAAGTGGGCTTAAAGTGACTGCTTTCTGACTCAGGCAGAAAGCAGCAGCAAATGACCTTACAGGTGTGATTTTTAAGAGGAAAAAAGGGGGAGGTCTGTCTTAGAATGGGCTAGGATGAGGTGGGAAAGGGGACAGAGGATGAGGGAGAAGGGCACAAGGGAAAAGGGGCAGGGACCTTTGTCCCAGAGGACAAAGAACTGCCTCTGGATAGAGAGGAGACAGACACGGCACGTAGGAAAATGGCAGATTTTAAACGTACAAGGGGAAACCCCATGTTAGGATGAGGCGTTTCATTTTAACTGGGCATGTTAATTAGGTGATCCAGAGGGGGCTTCTGTCTGCTGGACTTCAATACTTTGATAGCTGGACCTTGATAGTCAGCCTCAGGAGGAGGAAGAGGCCAAATAAGGGACTAGACCATGGGAGCTAGCTTTAGGAATGTCATCTAATGGTTTGATCGAGACAAAGGGAAGCGGAGAGAAAGGCAAGGCCTGCCAGAGCCACATGTCCTAGTGGGCTAGTGTCCTTCACCTCCAAGGGACAGTAAGTATTGGAAAACACTTCACTTTTAGTCCAGATGTAGGACATGGGCCTTAACATTTAATTACACAGATAGCATCCCATTACAGAGACTTAGCCCTTTCAATTTTCCAGTACTGTCCTAGCCTAGGGTTACACATAACAAAGGCATTTTCCAGAAGACAGTCCTATCATATAGACGTCCCTCATGTACAATAAATGCCTTTTCCACGGCCAACCCCGCGCTGTCTAGAAGAGAGTTCCTAATGAGTATTTTGTTTCTACCCTTTAGGCATCCCCTCCTTCTCCTGCTCCTTCATCATCCCAAAGATACAGAGGCATAGAAAAGTCCTCTTCGTCCCAATAATCCTCCTTCTGTTCCTAAGCCACCGAATGGGCCCCTGACCAGAGTGAGCGTGATGAAGTGGGGGAACGAGGTGCTGTGTCCAAGAACTCTTTCTTGTTCTGTGAGAGGCTCCATGGAAGTGTATAGGAGGGACCTCAACGAGAGAGCTGAGGAGCAGAGAGAGCTCTGAGATCTGACAGGAGGGCTTGGAGAGGGGAAGGGCATCAGTGGTACCAAGCTCTGCTGCCACCAAACACCCGGAACACCGGAATCTCATTCTCAACGAGGTTCTGACCCCCATATCCTCTGGGAACTCTAGTCCTGCAGCACCTGGGAGCGAAGGGACAAGGTCGGGGTGCCAGGAAGGGGCAGCAAGTAAGGAGTCAGAGGACCCGATTCTGGTGGAGCTGTGTCCCCAAACTTGTTGGGTGTGAATAAGAAGTTAGTAAATCACAATGACTGTCAATTTTCCCTTCTGTAGAGATGCAGTTAATTGGTCCATCCTATATTTTATGTTAGGAGTGTTAAATGTGAAGCCAGGGCATAAAGGGCATTCTTTACTGTTTCAGTAAAGACACAGATAAACTTGTCAAGGCAGGGGTGAGCCTATGTGTGTACGTGTGCCTGGATATTACATTAGGGGATAGTTGCCTGGCCCCAGGAATTCCTGTTGCAGACAGCAACCTGCTCCTCTGCTTCAGAGCTGCACAGTCTCCAGCAAGTTCCCAAGTCCCTCTGTGCCTCCGTTGTCTAAACCCGTGCATCCGGTAATAATAGCCCCTCACTTCATTGACTTGTTTCCAGGATAAAATCTGATAACGTATATGAACTGACACTTAACAAGCAGTAATTACATGTTTGTTAATATATCATAGTCTTCCTTCATTCAAGGGGAATGCATTCTAAGGCCTCCAGTAGATACCTGAAGCCTCGGACAGTAGTAGACCCTATATCCAAATATGTCGTGACTCATGCCTGTTGATCTGATAGCCACGATGGCTCCTAAGTAACCAATGGGTAAACAGCATAGACAGCTTGAATGGAGGAACAAAGGGACAGTTCATGTCCTGGGTAGGATGGAGCAGGAAGTCATGACATCTTCTCACCCTACTCCAAACAATATGCAATTAAACGTTTTAATTTTTTTATAGCGTTTTCCTTTTAATATTTTTTTGGTGGCAGTGGGCCATGGTTAACTAAAACCACAGGAAGATAGAATTAATGAAGTTGCCATTCAGCAGTATCAATAACAATGTGGGGAGCAGTCAATGAGACTCACTAGGCTATGACCCCCTTTATTAGTAGGTATTCTAGATATAAGCCTTTGCTGTGGGATGTTCTGTATGTCAAATATGTTTGCTCTAATTGATTAGTAAATAAAACACTGATTGGCCAGTAGCCAGGCAGGAAGGATAGGCGGGACAAGCAGAGAAGAGAATTCTGGGAAGTGGAAGGCTGAGTCAGAGAGACACTGCCAGCCGCCATCATGACAAGCAGCATGTGAAGATGCTGGTAAGCCACGAGCCATGTGGGCAAGGTATAGATTTATAGAAATGGATTAGTTTAAGATATAAGAACAGTTAGCAAGAAGCCTGCCATGGCCATACAGTTTGTAAGCAATATAAGTCTCTGTGTTTACTTGGTTGGGTCTGAGCGGCAGTGGGACTGGCGGGTGAGAGAGATTTGTCCTGACTGTGGGCAAGGCAGGAAAACTCTAGCTACAAGCCTTACTTTGAGAATGTCACTAATATAATTCCCTATAGTGAAGACTTGAGCTATTTTTCTTACATCTTCTCCTGGGACACAAACCAGGAGCTGAGAGAGCCAAGATATATGGAAAGGTACCTCCCAGCTAGGATGGCGGAACCCTATCCATAGCTCTGTTGGCCTCTAGTCAGGTCTGCCTGCTCCAGCCTCTACTGCAGATCGTTCAGCTGGGCTTTTTGCACAGACGGTGGCCACTTGTAGCAGAGCAGGCAGTCATGACACTTAGAGAAGCCCAGGACACACGCTTGGAACAATTTAGGACACAACCACACAGCACACCTTCGAGTCCCAACTGTTTCTAGACAGAAAAATGAACTGGCATTTACTGAGCGCGCACTACTGCATTTCCAGGATCAACAGAATCAGAGGGGTCCCCTGTGCCTAGAAACTCATAATTGAAGTCAGCGGAGTAACTCGGAAATAGATGAACAGGCCAATATTGCCAGCGCTGCCATTTGCTTACCCGATGCAGACTCAAAATAACCTTTCTTTACGCCAAGAGGAAAGCTATACCTGAATGATTTTTTCATTATATGAGTCAAAGGTGGAACCAAGATGGGGGTGTCTTGGGGTGAGTTCATAGATTTTTGGATCTGACCTTTCCTGAGGCCTGAGTCAGCTGTAAAGCGAGGGGTGGGTTAATGCACTCAGACCTCCACTGCACCCTGAGGACGTGGAATCAGCTGTTGCTTGGCGCTGCTATTTTAAGATGTTTCAGGATCTGAGATCTGAGACGAATGAACGAACGGGCTGAAGATGGAACCAGCAGTTGGGAGGGGGGTCCCCATCAAGAGGCTGAGATGCCTGGGAATTTGACGCTTCCCTCCCACGAATTCCCTGAGAGTTCCTCCATGGGGAATGCCACAGGGCAACTCCACGTTTTTAGGTGCTCCTCAGTGCAGAGACCCTACTACAATCATCCGCTCCCAACCCTCCTGGATTTGCAAGGTTGACTCTGCCCCACTCACAGAAGAGGGAAAACGTCAGGCATCTGTGGGCTCCATCCTCACTGTCTCGCTGGCTAATTGATTACATGGCTGCTTGGCTGATGACGTGTATGTGGAGGTATTTGCAGAAGCAGAATGCTGTGTGTGTGTGTGTGTGTGTGTGTGTGTGTGTGTGTGTGTGTGTGTGTGTACATACAATCTTCACTGGTCAACTGCTTGATGTGGCTGATTGGCACAGGACCTGTCAGCAATTGGGGTGAAGATGGCTATGTCAGCGGAGGGGAGGAGAGAGTGGGCAGAGAGAGCCCTGAGTTCTGCCAATCTGATTGACAGGTCCCTACTCCAGCTCTGGCTTGGCTTTCCCTTACCGCTCACGGTAGCCTTTTGTTACTATGACGTCACGGTTCCTTCTTCCTTATTGTACACCCCCCTCCTCCATTTTCTTTGCCCCTCTTTTCTGCTTCTTCTCCATTCCTTCCCACACTGTCCCTTGTCACAGAAAGTGTGGTCTGTGGGCCAGCAGGAGTAGCCCCGGTAGCTTGTCAACAATGTAGGCTCCCAGGCCCTGAACTGAACTGAAATCCACTCTGTAAGACTCTAAGTAAATCACAAGCACATCAAAGTCTGAAAAACACCACTGAGCCGTCTCGTCTGCACAGCTTCCTCTCAAGCCCTTGGCTTTAACTTGAACCTCACCTTTCCCGCCATGTACCCCCAACTACCTGTTCTCTTTGTCTTTGACTTTCTCTTTTCTTCCCTCCCTCCCTTCCTGTCTTTCTGGTCCTTCCTCTTTCCTCCTCCCCCATTCCTTCCTTCCTCCTTTCCTCTTCTCATTAACCCATCTGTTATCTTATTCCGTCTCTTCCATCCATCTCCCCTGACCTCTTTCCACGTATATCATATATGTCTCTCTCTGCCCAGGCCTCCCCTTCTTGTCTAGACTTAAGGGAAAAGAACACCTTTCATCCTCTCCTGCAAGCTGCCTTGAGCCTGAGGTTCAGCAATTTCCCTCCCATGAAGCAGGTCACGAGGGAACCTCAGGCTGGGAAGCCCTGGATTTACCTGTAGAGGATTCTTTGTGCTTATGGCGATGACATGGTACTTGTAGTAACACAGCTCACAGCTCCAGCAGCCCCTCTCACTGATCCACTTGATGAGACATGGCTGGTGGGTACATTTCACTGAACCGTCACAGCGGCACGGGCTTAGCAGCTCTCCCTGTGGGGGAAAAAGAGGGACTATGGTGAGCCTGGAGCCCCAGTCCGGCGGGTGATGGATAGGCAGATGGATACCGAAATCCTGATCTGGTTCACTCTGATAAGCCAGATAAGCCTACTCCATCCAAGCCACAGCTCTGTCTGGAGGCACCGGAGTCTACTGAAGAGGCCTGGGCTCCGCTGTTCTTATCCTAGAAGCCAAGTAGCTCTAGTCAGCTAAACTACCAATTCTGAGTCATCCCTCCTTCCTGGTACGGCACAAAACAATGCTTCCTAAGCTGCTTAAGACCTAGGATGTCCATGGACACCTTCTGTAGTTCAATGGTGGGTGGTAGGCGCCTCAAGTTTCTCTTTAGAAACTCAACCAAACCAAAATACCCACAGGGCTAGAGAGGAGAGACAAATGACAGATATCTGCTGCAGGAGACAGGAGTGATTTGGGGAACACAGACTGAGAACAGGACCGCCACCTCTGTCACCAGCTAGCTACAGATGAGGGAATTTGATAGCATTTGTATTTTTGGTAGTGCTGGTGACTGAACCCAGGACCCCATACAGACTATTCTCAGCTCTACAGGGAATCTTTCTCTAAAACTTCTCGGTAGCCTGATTGTCACAGGTTAAAAGTATGTCACACGGGTCACTTTGACCGAGTGCAGAGAGATGCCTATAGGCCATAGGACTCGGAACTTGAGCCCTTGCGTTCTCCTGCAAAGACACTGGTCCTCTCAGTGATGCTTTCCGTGCTGGGCCCCTGAGTGGAAAAGAAATGTAGGTCAGGCCTGAATCCTGGGGATCTTGGAGGCTGGCCAGTGTCCTTGCCGAAGGCCTGGGTTGCTCCAGCCAACTTTGGGGCTAAGGACAAAAGACCAGCTTAGGAGCATTGGAAGCTGGGAAACAAATCTGGCCAAGCTAGATGGTGTCAGGATGGGAAACCCCTTGTAACTGAACTGTAGAGTGTGGCTCATTCTCTAGAGCTGCCTGTGACACTTCAGATAGCCACGACTGGAACCTCTTGTCTCTTGTCACCTGATATGGTGGCCCCAAAGTGCCTCTGTGAACCTCACCGGCTAGTCTTTCCTCGCTCTCCCTTTCTTTTTTCTTTCTTTCTCTCTCTCTCTCTCTTCCTGTTCATGTGTTTGAACTTTTTTGTTTGTTTGTTTTTGTTTTTTCAAGACAGGGTTTCTCTGTGTAGTTTTGATGCCTGTCCTGGAACTCGCTCTGTAGACCAGGCTGGCCTCGAACTCACAGAGATCCGCCTGCCTCTGCCTCCCGAGTGCTGGGATTAAAGGCGTGCGCCACCACCACTGCCCGGCTTCCATTTCCCTTTTTTGCTCTCTCTTTCTCACCCTCTTTCTCCTTCCCAGCTCCCCATCCACCCTCTTTGCTCATTAACCCCCCCCCCCCCCATTGACTCAGGTCTTACACTCACCTTCCTAGGGACCTTAACATCTGGGCTCTGCATTCCTTTTGACCTTACTCGGGGGCTTTGCTCTTGCGTCTTACTCTTCCTTTGCTCTCTTTGCTTCTGGGCCGGGTCACTCATTTCAGATCCAGCTCCTCTGTCTGAGTCCTGTCCAAGGACCCGTCCTCGGCCCTGAGCCCTGAGATACTAAGTTTGGGATAAGGCTGCTCGAACCACTTCCCTGCTTCTTTGAATGTTTTGTCATTTCAGAAACGGTGCCTTGTTCTCAAGCGTGAGCGAACAAGCCCAGGGTCTCCTGGCCTCTGAGTGCACCTGTCTGCATATTTAGTCACATTCGTCACTGTTGACTCCAGAACCAGCCATCTCCTTCTTATGATTTCTGGGATCATCTTTCCCTTTCATTTCAGCTCCTATACTCAAACAAAGCCTTAGTCTTGGCTCGTGGAGGGGTCTTTTTGTTCTCAGTCTACTCAAATGGTTAATTTTGTTTTTCAGACGGCTCTGATGCCAGTTCCCGCAGGGGGTCATCCATCCTTCTCCAGATGGAGATTGGTACTCTAACCTGAGAGGACTTTCCGCTGGGTGAATTTAGCACATCACTCAACACATGCCCACAAGGATCTAGTCATGTACCTATCTGCCCTCCAAAGGGAGGCAGGGGTGAGGTTTACATCTTCGTACATCTTCTCCCTGATGCCAAGCCCTACAAGGTGCCTGGCAACCTTTTGAATGACTAAATGAAAAAAATAAGCCAAATCTTATTCTAGGCTCCTGCATTGCCCACTCTATGAGAATAGGAACCATGTTAATTTTTTTTAATTAATTAATTTATTTATTTGTTTGTTTGTTTGTTTGTTTGTTTGTTTTGAGACAGGGTTTCTTTATGTAGCTCTGGTTTCCTGAGACTAGCTCTTTAGACCAGGCTGGCTTCAGACTCACAGAGAGCTGCCTGACTCTGTCTCCTAAGCGCCGAGATTAAAAGTGTGCCACCACCGCCAGGCTAACCATATTCATCTTGTTAGCCTAGCAATTTTTGCAGTACCTGGAAGCCCACGCACCTGTGTGCAATGACTTTCCTGGGTAGCAGAGAAACTTGGGTACTCAGCACCACAAACCATCCATCACCTAGTTCCCCATGCTGCTCTTCAGGAACTGACAGCTTCTCTGGGCTGTGGCCTTTCCCAATCCCATTTCACAGCACTTCCCAATTAGTCTCCAGGTCATTGCACCGTGACTCACTCCCTCACAGGGCAGAATTTTGCACAACTTTGCATCCCTAGCATTCAGTACCATTAGACAATAATCTATCTGACTTTGGCCGCTGATCCTGGGCTTATTTGTGTGATGAGCAAGAGGTTTTACTGCTCTGGGACATAGCCGGTCTCGGGTTCTGTGATGCCTGTCTGCGAAGAGGAGGCAGGAGTTGTACACATTGCTGGCCCCACGGTGCATGGGGCAAAACTCCCTGAGGTGCTGAGTGTCTGTGCTGTGGCTATGAGAAGGAAATGGGAGGGGGTGAGTGGAGCGAGGTGCTGGGGGAGGGGCAAAGCCCTCATTATTCACGGCAGCATGTCCTAGGCTCATTAATTCTAACAGGATGAGCTAGGCTTGATTAATCGGGTTGTTAAGCAGCCATGTCAAGTCGCCGATCAGGTAAAAGACATTACTTCCGGTCGCTGGCAATGAAACGAAGTGACAGCAGGCCTGCACCCCTTGTTTCCCGAGCCGCAGCTAGGAGAAGAGGTACGAAGAAGCTCCTGGCTGGAAGCAGCTGATAATACAGTCTCCGCTCTCCGCCTTGGCTCTGTATGGGGACCTCTGGGTCTCACTAGAGTCCTTTGAACAGTCTCATACCTATCTATAGAGGAAGGGTGTTTGGCCCAGGCTGGCCCCAGTGCCTGGCTCAGGGGCCAAGAGGCCAGAGCTGAGGTGTTTCCCCTGAAGCAACTCCTTAATTCCCCCACATGTACACTGGACAACCCCAAAGGCAGACTGGATATTAGTAAACAGGGTACCAAAACTCTTTTAAAAACGTATTTGTCTGATGAATAAAGCAATGTTAGATTTTAATGAAAAAAAAATCCACAGAGTTCTTTTAAACTTAGCGTTTGTGCAAGTGCTATGCTGATTGCTTAATATGTATGTATGTATATATATATATATGTATGTATGTATGCATGTATGTATATATTTTATGTACCTCAGGACGCGAAGGTCACAGTCCTTTTACTGATTAGGGTAAAATGCCAACTTAGCCTGGGTCCTTCTGGTTGTACCCACGCGTCTTCGGGAACAATAAGATAGAAATAACTGGCAGCCCAAACGGGATCATGTTAAACTTAATGAAGATGCTCTTCACAGTAGACTCCATTAAAAGCTAAAATGGAGGGGGAGGGGCGGTGGGGGCTAGAGCAATAGCTCAGTTCACATGGTAAAGTGCTTTGGTGCACACGGATGAGGACCTGAGGTTTGCTCCTCAACACTCACATAGAAGGCTGAGCTTAGCGGCGCGTGCTTGAATCCCGGAACTTGGGAGGCAGGGACAGGGGGGTCCTTGAGGCTCACTAATTAGGTGACCTAGCTTAACAATGGCAAGTTCCAAGTCTTACCGAGAGATGTCTCAAAAGTAAGGTAGATTGCTGGGCGGCGGTGGTGGCAGCGCCGCCACATGCCTTTAATCCCAGTACTCGGGAGGCAGAGCCACTGGATCACTGTGAATTTGAGGCCAGCCTGGTCTACAGAGTGTGTTTCAGGACAGCCAGGGCTACACAGAGAAATCCTGTCTTTAAGAATAAGAATAAGAATAAGAATAAGAAGAGGAGGAGGAGGAGAAAGAAGAAGAAGAAGAAGAAGAAGAAGAAGAAGAAGAAGAAGAAGAAGAAGAAGAAGAAGAAGAACAACAACAACAACAACAACAACAACAACAACAACAACAACAACAACACAATGTCGTAGAACCAGTCAGTGACATGGGGAACACGAGAGGCCATGGCTTTCTGACCAGCATCAGCCACTGAGCTTTGCCACACTGAAGTCTGTGCTGTGAGTCTCTCTCTGTCTCCTTCCCTGGAGGAGAGGGGGGTATTTCTGGCCCACCTCAGACCCCTCAGCCAAATCTCCCGTGGCGGCCAGCTGCAACCATGTCTCCTCTCCTGCTTCATCACGCACAGTCTGGTACTGCATCATTTTCATATCCTCTGAGATTTAGGCCAATACCTAGTTTCAGCATTACCCCAGTCACTAGGCAAACTGGAGATGCCCAGGAAAGGTGTGCCCTAAGGTGTGGACAGGCTCCAGGGTGTGGGGAAGAACAAAAAACCCTCTAGCTCAGCTTCTGAGGCACCCCCGCCCCCTTCAGTGGGGAAGCTTATAATCAACTTCTCTTCAGAGTGGAGCAAACTCCAATGATCAAAGAGGCTCACTAAACACAAAGGGACCAGATACTTCCTCAGTGATCTCAGGGCTTTGGGACAAGGAAGAAACTGGTCCTCCAAGGGGTGAAGTGTTTGGGAGTGGTTAAGAAAATGTATTTTAGAAATCAAGCACTTTGGTTTTGGATGCCTCTTCACCCATTA